AGGCGGCTGTGGTAAATGTCAGAAATAGAGATGATTTTCTTCCATCTTTCGTTCATTCATTCACTCATTCGTTTTTTATATATATATATATATATATATATATATATATATATATATATATATATATATCTATATACACTACTAGTCAATTTTTTTTAATAATTAAGATTTTATTAATGCATTTTTTTTTTTAAAGAAGTCTCTTATGCTCACCAATGCTTTTTTAAAATTATTATCTTACTTACCCCAAACTTTGGAATGTCATTGTTTCCACAAAATATTTTCAACATTGATAATAATAAGAAATGTTTCTTGATCATTCACATTCACAGACCTCCAAGAACCATTGCGGATCTCTGGGGATCCTTGAACCCTGTTTCTGTTCAGAGATATTTACATATATTTCTAATGTCAAGAATGGGTCTAAAGAGCAGTGCCTCTCCTGTCCCTTAATTGCCACTGCATTTAAAGCCCTCTGTTAACACCCCTGATCCTTTGCCATTAGGCTGCACCATGTGTGAAAGATAGAGCTTTAAAATGAAATGCAGTTTGATACATATTCAGCTGCAGGATCAGCTGAGCTTAAAAGGCAACCCAGATGGGGCTCAAACCCACAATCCTCAGCTCTAAAATCGGATGCCCTACCAAGAGGCCACTGGGCTCATATAACAGTATTCCCAACAGCAAAGATCCCCGCTTTGAACCTGAGTAGTAAAATGTTCATTTGACACATATTTCAGTGCTTACCCATAATCATCACTCTTTGGGAGATTTTCCTCATGTCAGCAGACATAAGAGATGAGATGAGTTTGACAGTCCAAACAAAGACGCACTGAGTATTCCTGGAAAATTGCCAAGAACACTCCGTCATCCAAAACAAGTTGATTCATCTTTAACAAGCTTAACAAAAGGGGCCAGTGAAAACACTTGCTCATTTAGATGGCACAAACCTGTTGTCTCAGGGCTTTCCCATTAAAAAACAAACGATGAGTGGACATGAATTGAGTGCTCGTGATGATTCTCAGCCTCATTGTTTGAAAAAAGCAGTAAAGGCCAGTTCACACCCAGAATGATAACTATAATGTAACTATATTAGCATACACCATAGCATGATAACATTCTGTCTAATTTAAGCATGCAGTTATGTCATCTGCAGGTTTAAATGCTCAAGCTTGTTAAAGTCTGGTGGACTCTGATTGCCTGTCAGTGTTTTTATCATTCATCAGCTGGAAAAAAATCACTCTGAAAGTGATTCCAACAATATTGTTCATTGTCATTGTTATAGTTGTGGTGTTGACTTCCCCTGTTATTCATAGTTCTAGATACCATTATAGTTATCGCCTTTGGTGTGAACGGGCCTTAATACAGACAAATAGTTATTGAATAAGACAATGATGTTGGTTAACCTAAATTTGGTTATCAGTAAGCCACATTTAGAGCTGTTTCTTCAACTAGGGCACTTCTGGTCGTGTGGATTCTCTCTAGTTTTTTTTTTATGTGTCCACTAATAATGTCCAACACTTTATATAACATGTTTGTAGAAGGATCTCAGGAGTCTGCAAATTCTCGATTAGAGGCATGGATGAAGGACCTCAATGAGGAAATATCAATGAATGATTGGAGAGAGGTCTGTAGAGACGCTCAGAAGCAAACTGTTAATACAAAATTGAAATTGTTAAAGTATTATTAAACAAATTCAACAAGAATATTACAGACATCTGTCCTAAATGCAATTCATGTAAAGGTACTGTCTTTCATTGTGTATGGGGGTGTGAAGAGATCTTGAAATTCTGGAAGGGAGTGCAGACTATAATAGAGAAAATAATCAATGCTACAATTTCACTAGAACCAAAAATGTTTATATTAAACTTATATCCTAGTAATCTTAAATTGAGAAGATATAGGGTTTTTGAAGATGCTTGGAACCCCTTTATGTTTTTGTTAGAAAAAGAAAATAATGGGGATATATCTGGTGGTATATTAGAAGATATGTAAGAAAAGTATTGTTGGATACGTCTTGTACTATGAGGCCTTAATTAAAGTTTTTGTGTGTGTGTGTGTATGTATTTGTTGGTGTATATACGTTTATATATTGATTTGTTTCCCTTTCTTTTCTTTTGATTATCTGTATGTACATAAGTGGAATGTTTATGTCAAAGTTTGTGTTGTTATACAGTCTTTGTTATGTAATCTTAAAAGCTATAGAAAAAAAGAATTACATTTTTTTTAAAATAATGTCCAACACATGCATCACAGGAGCTTTGCGTTTCTTTTTTCTCATTTATTTCTGAAAGTAAATCATTGAAATTCCCACTGCAGTGCTATTTCTGCCACATCTCAAATCACATGACAAAGTTTGGCTCAACAAAATATTTCTCCTGTGAAAAGTGAAACGTACCTTTATATTTTTTTTATCACACATCACGTCACATTTCATCTCAAGTATTTTCCTTACTGACAATTAATACAAAGTGATAATTCATATTTTTATGATGGGTTTTCATGTTTTAAGATTGAAAGTTTGGCTCTGGAACAACAGTAAGAACAGAGCCAAGTTGGTTTTAATGTGATATTATATAACTAAAAGAAAAGATTGAAATCTAATCTAAAAGTAAATTTAGTTTTGTTTTATTTACATTTAAATGTAGTTGTACTAAAAATCAACCCCTGGAATTTAAAAGTGGCAGAAGCCAATGAAAAAGCCCTGTATACCATGATTTCAGGTCCATTTCCAGGCAAACATTCAAAGGATTACTAAAGGCATAGTTCAGATTCAGTAGCCGGGCAGAATGAGATCTAGACCAAGTGTGTGAATCTATATGAGCGTCTCTACTCTAGGCTGGTATGCACAACTCTGTGTGAGGCACGCGAATGTAAACAGGAGTGATATACAACAGGTCCAGCTGGCAAACAGACAACTGTGTGCTTGTGTCATCATCACGTCTAGTGCTGGAGTCCCTCTCGCTTGCTTAGGGCCCTTTCACCTAAAGAAGGGGGGTAAGAATGTGGATCTAAATATGACAGCCCACTCCACTCCTCAACCCCTTCCATCTCATTTCTCCATCCCCCTCCCTTCAAATCCGATCATCCTCCCCCCATGATCCAGAGCCATACTCATCATAACAACCCTTTTACAACAATGACCCCCCAAGAGCCAGACACAAAAAACACACATGTACAGCTCTGCATCGGAATCAAACTGATGCTGATTTTAAATTAGAAACAACATTCACATTCCTAAAAGAGCCTTGTATGGCATACTATTCCTTTCTGTTCCTATTTGACAGCTGACAGGAAACAGTACACATTCACATACAGTGACATTTTCCCCACATGCTAGTTTCCTGCAGATCTTCTGGGTGAAGAAGAGCACTAGTACAGTGAGCTGAATCTATACTTCATTGATTCGGGTGGGGAATTGGGGCCTCTTTTTTATTCCAGTACTGTTAGGAACTCAGAGATGAAACAAAGAAGATCCAGCTGACATTCTGGTGATGAGACACATATGACAAGTGAGCTGGCATAGCCAGAGGCTGCCCACAACCCACTAACAAAGACACGCAAAGGCAGAAGCAGAGAGAAGACAGTGGTAGATTTTCCAAATCTTGGCTCTTGAACAATAACTTCATTTTTGTTTCATTACTGAATGAAATGTCTGCACTTGCTTTGAGTAACCATCATAAAATTATTCAACTTAAACAACTACTACTGTACTTCCCTGCTTTTCCCATCTCAATATAGCAACATGAGAGACTGCCGAGGACAAACAGCATGTCTGCATTGGATTCACGCGGCAACAAGGTCCAATCAGAGAGCGAGCTTGAGCGAGCTTGAGCATCTGAATCAACCTACATCTTAAAGGTGAAGCCTGGATCTGGATCTTTAGCACTCGTTCACTACTGAACTGTGCCAGGCACTGAAATGAGGGGCTCTGAGGCAAACATCATCGACCCACTGTGCCAAAGCCCCTGTCTGCTCAATAGACAGACACATAGACAGTCAGGCATGTTGGCATGATAGCTGACCCATATTTTACAATCCCCCATTTAACAGCAAATGGGACCATGAGCATGCTGGAGAAGTAAGAGTTAAATTATGAATGAGAAGAGAATGTCTGTGTAAGGAGAGCAGAGATCAGATGCAGATGGGGTGGGTGTGCTGTTTAAAGCTGTTAGATCTTAAGAAAATCACGTCTTTTTGTCAATACAGTAAAACACTGTGCAAGCAGCTTTCAAAGCATTGGTCGCTATTGGGTCTCATCGGCTGTGTTATTGCCAGAACGTCAGAATATATTGCATGGAATATATTTTGGAGTCCCCAAAACCGGTCAGCATACATTCAGAACGATTGTGTGTGCTTTTCACGCTGTGGTTAAAAAAATGAACCCCGACAGAAGATCGATACAGTGCTTTCACGGGAGCGCGGTCGCTCTTTTACGCTAATAGACCCAATGATATGACGGAACGCAAGACGCAACATATCTCACGGTGTGTGACACGGAATGGCGCGCGGCCACATCTGCTTAATCAGCAGCAGTTGAGTCTGTTTCCCATTGTGTGAGTAAAACCCCCTCCATTTCCTCTCTACATCAGGCGAACCGGCATTAAGGAAAAATGTATCAAGCTGAACGATACACAACCAACCTGTATACGTATGTAAATTGTGCGTGCGTGAGTGTAGGCTATCTATCTGTCTATCTGTCTATCTATCTATCTATCTATCTATCTATCTATCTATCTATCTATCTATCTATCTATCTATCTATCTATCTATCTATCTATCTATCTATCTTCTTTAAGGATAGTGAATGGCATACAGTAGTTCCCCCTGTCATTTTGGTCTAACATAAATAGGCGATTGTAGCCTATATTGCATTATGGTTATTTGCTCAAAGCCACTTTCGTGATAACAGGTTTCAGATTTACACCATCTGCATGCTGGTCACGCTCATGAAGAATTTACGGTTGCATGTGTTTAAAGCGTCGTGTCAAACCTCTCACCTTCATATCATTGACAATCGCCTGGAATAATCCACCAAGAGCCCCGCACTCCTTCTCCACAGACTCCACGTTTATATTATCCATCTTCAGCGAATACAGAGCAAAAAAAAAAATCCTGGTGTTGAATTACTTCCACAATATCCCGAAGAAACACGTCTTGAGAGCTAAAAGCAGGAGAGTGTTTGTGGGTGAGAGCTAGATTTCAGCAGAAGCTGTCGGTTTTGCTGCCCAGAGGATTGAGGCAGATGATGGGGAGAGACGAGAGAGATGTGGGGTTAACTCTCTCTCTCCTCGGCTCCGGATCTACTCTCCGCGGTTGGAGGAGGTTAGGCTCGTGGATAGCCCCGTAATAGTCACGGTCATCTTCGGACAACGAGGCTGAATCGAGCTGAATGGATGTGAGAAGCGGAGAGTGTGTGTGGAGCGGTGCATCGGTGCGCCACCCGCCCGGCTGAGACTGGTGAGTGAGTGAGTGAGTGAGTGAACTGAGCAGCAGCGGCGCAGCGCGGCAGGGCCAGTAACTCGATCTATGCGAATCGTATTGGGCAGAACAGTTTCTCTTGTCACATGGAGGCCAAAGGGAGGAGAAATGGGAAACAAACACACAACATACAGACCAAAGCGTGTCATTCGTTCTGTACAGTCTGAATATGAAACTCTGAAAGACAGACATTTCCAAAAGATTATAGGCTACTACAGCATCGTGACCGTGACTATTATGGGGCCATCCACGATTATATACTATACATAAAGAGCTATTACAATTCTGGAAGACAATTAATTATTAATAATGGCTAATTAGGCTATATAAAATTATTTTAAATGAAATATTTCACAATAATAATTATTATTATTGTTATTATTATTCATCCTGTCATGTTGCATATTGTGTTTGTGTATCCAGTTGAGTATGACAGATCAGTGATTAGCTACTAAAGGGGCGGTTAGTTCAATGTTGCTAGCCAAAAAGTTTTGGTAATCATTGACTTCCATAGTATGGAAATCTTTTTTTATATTCCACCGAAGAATGAAAGAAATACAGATTTGAAACAACATGAGGGTGAGTAAAAAACAGAACTTCCATAGTGGACTATTCCATAAATGAAAACCATCTCAGTTTGGACATACAGGGTGGGATTCAATCTGCATATTCAGTGACTGCATTATTGCCCTGATAAAAGATAATAAAGCTGAAGTAAGATTTAATGATTATGTCATACTGCTGTAATAAAAAAAACAAAAAAAAAACAATCATCTTGTTCTCTTGTCACAGTGGAAGGGGGATGAAGCCCTCTCGCAAAGGTTCAAAAGCAAGGTCACAGTGCTCGAGTGGCCTTTGCCTCCAAAACCGGGTGTCATATTTACAGAAATACCTTAAGGGCCTCTCCCTCTTAACTCCTTTGGGAATTTTCTCACGTTACACCTCTGATCTGCCCTGCTGTTTGCTAGAAATAAGTCAAGACTGTTCATGGCCTGCCAATGCGTATTGGCTATACGGACAGAGAGATATAATCAGTTCTGTATATTGACTGTCTGTTTATTGACACTTTGCATTATTGTAAGTCACTTTAGTCAGAAAAGATCTGCCTGGACAAATGTAAATGTCCCTCACTCTAAAACTTTTTTCTCTTTTGCACTCTCTCATCCCGTGTCTGCTGATCTTCACCGTCTGTGCCTATAACAAGGTTCCCCTCCATTTCATGCATTACTCAGCAAGACAGCTAGACTGCCTGCATCAGCATCAAATTGTCCTGCCAACAACCATGCCGAACCACCTGCTTCAGCCATCCTTCATCCCGTTATTAAAATACATATATTACCATATCTTCCACATTTCCTCTCATATTTTTTCAGTAGGTTTTGAAGCGTTTAGAATTTAGTATCTTCACATTCACACATCTGAGATCTACTGTCCACGAACACGTACTTGCCACCAAAGGATGTTCAGGGACTCAGCAGTGCTGCTGTGGTTGTTGGAACTTGTTTTATGCAAGTTAGCGATGATGCAAATCTCCAGAGATCTACAGAGTGTGAATTAGAATTTTACCTGAGAGAAAAGTAGATTACAGTTGGTGAAAATAATCCCCCTTTCCTTTTCTTTTGTGTTACACAGAAGATCATACAGATTGGAACAACTGTAAAAGATGTCCGAAAGAGAACTATACCATTAAGCACTAAGTTTGGGAGAATGAGACTTCAGAGTCTGCTGAAAAACCACACAAACGTTTATTATATTATTGTGGTTGCTGTTTGTATTCAGAAACTAATGCAAATCACAATATTTCCCTCTATTTTAAAATACTGATTATTGTCCATAGCACTACATTGCATATTATTTTACCTTCTGTTGCACCCAGCATATACATATAAATGTAAACCATGATTGGTGGTGGTTGAGGAGATTCCCCCTTCCATGTGAAGCGCTTTGAGTGCCTAGAAAAGCGCTATATAAATGTAATGAATTATTATTATTATTATATACAGATAGCAATCCCAACTGTTCTTTTTCTTCCACACAGAGTAACACAAAGCTTTAATAGACTTAACCAAATTCCAAGTACCTTACATCAGATTCATTTTAAGTGGAACATAAACCCTCCTCCTCCTTGGGTCTTTACACTATTAATACTTTAAAGGGAGAGAGAATAACAAGGGAAAAAAAACTAAATTCATTTCGTCAAACTATTTCTGGGAAAGATTTCAAAATATCAAAGCCAAAGAAAACCACTGTCTCATTTTTTGGGGGGTCTTTTATGCAGTCTCCAAAATACAGGTCAATCACTTCTTCAGTGTTATGGTATAATTTAATATGTATGCAACATCCCATACTTGCTCAATTATGCATTAACTTCACAGCACCAATGTTATTTTGTACACAAGCCAGTCACAAGGGTTTATTAGGCTCCACCACAAACAACTTGGGCACGACCACAGGGCATCGTGACAATTCATCTTTTGCTCTCTTTTCCACTCACAATGAAATGTATACATTTGAAATCTTGCTTTATGACAATTCATGGGGGCACTGTTATCAAGGTTTAAGGCAACAAGGAACTAGATACTTTCCCCAAAAAATAAACCAGTTTTGTGTGGATATAAAGTAATAATCTAAAGACTATGGGTGTGACATGGCACTGCGTTCAGTGGCTTTTGTTGATCTCTTTCTGTTGAGTCTGATCTTAGATACACACTGACTTGACAAAAGTGATTGAATGCTTATATAGTACTCCTTGTATGTTTGTTTAGAATGCGTATATTGAGACCCAACACCAAGACTGCGAGTGGGATCTTGCTTTTATACAACGGTTCAATAAACAAGAAGTTAATACTGAGTAACTTACATTTTAGACACAATATTACCTTGCGCACTGTAAACCGAAATGGTTCCAAAGTCAAAGTAGAACCTTTGTAATGTTCATTCCTGAATCAGTGATTTTGAATGAATGATTCCATGATTTGCTCATAAAGTCATTTGTTTAGTTCCTGAATTAATCAGTATTTTGAACAAATTGGTTGAGGGAAGGATTCAGTAATTCATAGGCTGCATATTTCCCTACTATATAGGTGGAAAAAACAGTATGTGAAAAGAATATATGTCTGAATTAACAGTATAAAAAAGTATCCGGATGACTTTCTACTTCCGACGAGATTCTGAAGTTCGCATCCAATGGACACTTTACTATCCCATTAGGCCACGGGCGAGGATTTGTGAATGGCAGTGAAGTGATGCAACTAACGCTTGTAGGCCACATGACAATGACAAGACGAATGTAGTATTTCTAGATTTCATTCACACTATATAGAACATAATGTTTTAACAGTTCTTATTTAAATGTTGTACCTACTCAGGAAATATGGAACTTCGGATGCAGCTACGGATTTGTTTTCGTTCCTAAGGGAATCAATATTTTGAACGAATCAGTTGAATAAATGATTCAAGGATCCACTCATAAAGACAGTCACTTGTCACCACCTTCCGGTGTATCGATGCAACCTGCAGAAAGTCAATGAAAAATCCCCACTACAAAAACAAAGACTAACTCAAATTAACATAAGCAGACTGTTAAAAACAGTGAGAAACTGTAAGACTGCATATCAGCTATTTGACTGCCTACCTGGACATCAGAAAGCAAACTAAAGTGCCCAGAGCAAACTGGTTCAGTTTCCTCCCAAATTAATAGGTTTTGTGGTTCCATTGAGACTATTCTTTGAATTAAATGTTGGAGACCAAAACATTTTTTTCATTATCACGTTTCTGCATTATCCCTTACTTACCCATCTTAGCCCATAAACTAGGTCAGAATGAGTCATACAACCCACTCTCGCGACATACCCCCTCCCCCTTTTCCTCTCTCTATCCTCTCCTTAGCTCTGCTAGACAGTACAGAACCGCCCACAGCTCTTTTTCTTATGTTTGAAGTCTATCACACTCCTCTGACTAAATAGATGATTTTCCACAGGAGATTTGACCAGCAATAACCCTCTGGGAGGTTTGACGTCAGTCTTTTGCATCTTTATGGGCAAACTGTTACATCCATGTGAATCATCATATGGACACATCAAACTATCAGACATCTTCACAGACTTAAGAAATAAAGGTTTCTTTCATTTCACTGTGCAGACCACTAAATGCAGCATAATTGTGTTTTCCATCATCCATCTCTCCATATACATTTAACCTATTTTGGTTTATATGATCTTTCTGAAAGGCCACATCTCAGCGCAGTGGCAGATGGAGATTTCCATAAAGTGTGGTGTTGTGGGTAACTGTGAGGTCTCTTGAATAAGGATCATTAGACCCTTATTATTTCTGGTAACAAATCTAACATGTCGGTCCTCAAAAACATAGAATTCAGAGACTTGATTTTTTTTTGTTTCTCACCCTTTGGATGCACTGCAAACCTCATAAGAACAAAATAAAGATGCTCTGGCAACAGCTTATCTGAAAACATACCCTTTAGAGTGCCTTCATTCTTGGCTAATTTACTCAAGAAACAGCATTTTTGAATGAGTAAGCACATAATACTTCCCTAACGAGAACACAAAACCCTTATTACACATTTTTGTGGCATAAATGAAAAGTAGAATGTAGAGGTTGACCATACTGGCACGAATTACAATTTGGCCATGGCTACATATGTTGCCGATATGTATCGTCAGAATTTTAAATTGTCTTTTTTTTCTTTTCTTTTTTACTGCTTTGAAGCAGCAACACGAGCACAACCTGCTGTCAAACTAGGGGAGGGGCAACAACAAGGCCTCAACTGATTGACAGCTAATCCACCCAATCAAAACTACTGGAATGTACTAAAAAACTGAATATAACTAGAAACTACATTTTTGTAACAGCTCATATACATTCAAACCATCAGACACAACAACACATTCTTGTGTGATTGTGCATGTTGGGAACTTTCCTGCTTACATTTATTTTTCAACCATAAATGAGGATGCATTCAACAAGAAAATGGTGTCTTAC